ATCAGACTTACAGCAGATCTCTCTGCAGAAACTCTACAGGCCAGAAGAGAGTGGGGGCCAATATTCAACATCCTCAAAGAACAAAACCTTGAGCCCAGAATTTCATATCCAGCCAAACTAAGCTTCACAACTGAAGGAAAAATAAAATCTTTTATGAACAAGCAAGAACTCAGAGATTTTATTACCACCAGGCCTGCTTTACAAGAGCTTCTGAAAGAAGCATTACACACAGAAAGAAACAACCAGTATTAGACTTTCTAAAAATACACCAAAAAGTAAAGAGCACCAACATAAAGAATAATTTACACCAACACATGGATAAAACAGCCAGTCAACATCAAATGGCAGTAACCCTAAATTTAAATTGACTAAATTCCCAATCAAAAGACACAGCCAAAACCCAACGGCATGTTACATCCAGACCTGTTTCACATGCAAGGATACACAAAGAATCAAAACAAAGGGATGGAGAAAGATTTACCAACCAAATGGAGAGCAAAAATAAATAATAAATAAATAAAAAGCAGGAGTTGCAATTCTTGTATCGGATAAAATAGATTTTAAAGCAACAAAGATATAGTGGTAAAAGGATCAATGCAACAACAAGAGCTAATGATCCTAACACCCAGATAGGAGACTTAGATTCAATGAGACAGAAAATTAATAAGGATATCAAGGACTCGAACTCAGATCCAGAACAAGTAAACTTAATAAATATTTATAGAGCCCTCCACTTCAAATACACAAAATATACATTCTTGTCAATACCACATCACACCTACCCATTAGTTTAAATGAAACATTGATTGGCCATTATTAATACCCAATTTTTTTCAAAATAAAGCAATATTTCCATTTACTCTCCCTCTTTCTCTTCCTCTTTCTTCCTCTCCTTTACTTTTTTTCTTTTTCTTTCCTTCTCTAAAAAAAAAAAAAAAAAAAAAAAAAAAAAAAAAAAAAAAAGAAAGAAAGAAAAAGAGGCCAGGCGCGGTGGCTCAAGCCTGTAATCCCAGCACTTTGGGAGGCCAAGGCGGGTGGATCACGAGGTCAAGAGACTGAGACCACCCTGGTCAACATGTGAAACCCCGTCTCTACTAAAAAAATACAAAAAATTAGCTGGGCATGGTGGCGTGTGCCTGTAATCCCAGCTACTCAGGAGGCTGAGGCAGGAGAATTGCCTGAACCGAGGAGGCGGAGGTTGCAGTGAGCCAAGATCGCGCCATTGCACTCTAGCCTGGGTAACAAGAGTGAAACTCCGTCTCAAAAAAAAAAAGAAAGAAAGAAAGAAAGAAAAAGGAAAAACAACTAATGATACATACAACTAGCATTAATCTCCAAGGAATTATGCTGAGTGGGAGTGGGGGGGAAGCCAATCCCAAAAGGTTACATTCTTTATGATTCAATTTATATAACATTTGTAAAGTGACAAAATTTTAGAAATGGAGGATAGTTTCACAGTTACCAAGGTGTGGAGTGTAGAAATATCGCGGACTATGATTATAAAAGAACATGAAGGATTCTTGTTCCTTGGAACTGTTGTGTACTGACTGTGGTGGTGGATACATGAACCTATATGAGTGATAAAATTGTACCAAATTTAATATAAATACAAATGAATAAAAATAAAACTAGGGAAATTTTAATAAGTCTGATGTATTACAACAGATGTAAATATTCTGCTTGTGATCTTATACTACAGTTTCCCAAAACTGTTACCACTGGGAGAAACTGGGCAAAGTGTACAAGAGATCTCTTTGTATTATCTTTCACAACTGCATGATAAACTACAATTATTCTAATAAAGATTTCAATTTAGGCCGAGCATGGTGGCTCATGGTGGGCAGATCACAAGGTCAAGAGATCAAGATCATCCCAGCCCACATGGTAAAACCCTGTCTCTACTAAAAATACAAAAACTAGCTGGGCACAGTGGCAGGCACCTGTAGTCCCAGCTACTCAGGAGTCTGAAGCAGTAGAATCGATTGGACCTGGGAGGTGGAGGTTGTAATGAGCCGAGATCTCGCCACTGCACTCTAGCCTGGCAACAGAGCAAGACACTGTCTTAAAAAATAATAATAAAATTTTAATTTTAAAAAGACTGTAGATAAACATTACTAATGATATGAAAGAAACAAATCAACACTGTCTTCTGTTCTAATTTTGATGTGATGTACTTTTTGGGTCTCCAGAATAATGGTTTTTCCATTTTCTAATGTTTTACAACTTTGGAAGCTCTGTTTCTGGGTCATATTTGAAACACAGCATTCTAGGCCAGGCACAGTGGCTCACACCTATAATATCAGCACTTTGGGAGGCTGAGGCAGGAGGATCACTTGAGTCCAGGAATTTGAATCCAGCCTGGGCAACATAGCAAGACCCTGTCTCTACAAGAGTCAAATAAAATAAAAACTAAACTCCTCCTTTATGACTTAACCATCTCAATAAACAGTTTTCCCTGCAAATCTCTTCAGCCAATCATACAATTTATATACTGTGCTAAATGACGGTCTCTTATTTGTAAATAAACACTCAACAAGCTCCTATTCCTCTGTTCTTCACAACTGCTACCACAGCTCTGCCTGGGCAACCTTCTACTGTTAATAGTTGAAAGAGATTGCCAATATTTCTCCTATTGTTCTCTCCCTTTTGCAAACAAAATAAGAATATCAGTATTTCCTTTGCTGGGCTTGTGCATCATTATATATACAATTCTTTCTTCTCGATTATGCTCTAAGTTAGCAAAGGACAAGTAAACTGAACAAAATCCTTGATATTTTATGCTAAGACTTGTTATTTCCCTATTTTTGTCCCTCCCAAAAAACAAAAAACCATAGCAACTCTACTTTTCAAATTGAAATTGATGAGTATCAACTATCATTGATTTTTTTAAACACAATAATGAAATTCTCAGAATGAGCAATGTGGTTATGAACAAGATTGGCTGTGGATTCTGATAAAAACTCCTGGCTGGGTGCAGTGGCTCACGCATGTAATCCCAGCGTTTTGAGAGGCCGAGGCGGGCGGATCACCTGAGGTCAGGAATTTGAGACCCAGCCTGGTCAACACGGTGAAATCTCATTTCTACTAAAAATACAAAAATTAGCCGGGCATGGTGGCTTGTGCCTGTAATCCCAGCTACTGAGGAAGCTGAGGCAGGAAGATCATTTGAACCCAGGAGGTGGAAGTTGCAATAAGCCAAGATCATGCCATTGCCTGGGCAACAAGAATAAAATTCCATCTCAAGAAAAACAAAAAACTCCTTCACTAATTAGCCATGTGACCTTCTGGAAGTTACTTCACCTCACCAGTCTGTTTTCCCACTTTGAAAATTCATTTTAGGGTTTATTCCTGCACTAATATTTTATGATCCTAACATTCCAAGAAGGTCTATGTAGATACAGACAACAAAAAGACAAATCTGCCTTTAATATCTAAAAGTACAGACCAGTGATATTAAAGCATGGGAAAGTACCATAAAGGATCCTCTTGATTCACAACCACTGGTTAACAGTAGCTAACACCTGGAACAGGAGGGGCCATCTGTAATCAAATGTTCTTTTAGAGAGCTAGGTCAAGTGTCAGTTTTCTGGGTTTGTTGGGTGGTGGGGAAAATATATCTAAACCATCTTTTAAAACATGGCATAAAATATAACATTAAATTTGCCATCTTAACCATTTTTAATGTGTACAGTCCAATAGGTGTCAAGTGTATCACACCACTGTGCAACAGCTCTCCAGAGTCTTTTCATTTTTGCAAAACTGTAATGCGTTATTTTATACTCATTAAACACCTTCCTATTTCCCTCTTCCCCAGCCCCTCATAATCATCATTTTTTCTCTTTTTATGAATTTGACTTTGATATCCTCATATAAATGAAATCACTTAGTAGTTGTCTTTTCATGCATTTCAAACATTTTCAAGTGAACAGTTCAGTGGCATTAAATTAATTCATACTGTTATGCAACTATCACCACTATCCTTCTCTTGAACTTTTTCATCCCCCCAAACTAAAACTCTGCTCAGTAAGCAATAATTCCCCATTACCGAATCCCCCAGACCCTAGTAACCACCATTCCACTAATTTGTCTATTACAGGTACCTCACACATTATCCGTCCTTTTGTATCCAACTCATTTTACTTAGTAAACCTTTAAAGGCTCGTCCATGTGGTTACATATTTTAGGATTTCCCTCCCTTTTAAGGCTGAGTAACATTCCATCTTATGTATATACCACATATTTTTATCCAGTCATCCACTGATGAACCCTTGAGTTGTTTCCACCTTTCAGCTATTGTGAATAAAGCTGCTATGAACACTGGTGAAAAAAATATCTGTTTGAGTTTGTTATTGTTGTCTTTTGTTTTGAGACAGGGTCTTACTCTGCTGCCCTGGCTGGAGCACAGTGGCATGATCTTAGCTCATTGCAACCTCCGCTTCCCAGGTTCAAGTAATTTTCTTACCTTGGCCTTCCAAATAGTTGGTACAAGAGGCATGCGCCACCACATCCAGCTAATATTTGGGGGTTTCTTGGTAGAGACAGAATCTCAGTATGTTGCCCAGGCTGGTCTTGAACTCCTTAGCTCAAGTAATCTGGCCTCCCAAAGTGCTGGGATTTACAGGCATGAGCCACCGCACCTGGCCCTGTTTGAATCTTTGATTTAAATTATTCTAGATATAACTTGAAGTGTGATTAGTAGGTCATATGGTAATTTCATTTTAAATTTTTTGAGAAACCACTATATTGTTTCCCACTGTGGCTGCACCATTTCACATTACTACCAGCAATGTACCAAGGTTCCAATTTCTCTACAACCTCAATTTGTTTTTGTCTTTTATTGTTGTTATTATAACTATCCTAACAGTGGCAAAATAGCATCTCATTGTGGTTTTGATTTGCATTTCCCTAATTATTAGTGATGCTGAACATCTTTCTATGTGCTTATTGGCCAACTGTTTATCTTCTTTGAAGTATATCTGGATAGATTTTTTAAAAAAATAATAATTATGAAACACTTCAGAAATTTGCAGGTCATCCTTGCACAGGGGCCATGCTAATCTTCTCCATATCATTCCAATTTTAGTATATATGCTGCCAAAGCAAGCACTCTGGATAGTTTTTTGGGGTTTTTGGTTTAAGATAGAATCTCACTCTGTCACCCAGGCTGGAGTGTGATGATACAATCATGGCTCACTGCAGCTTCAAAATCCTGGGCTCAAGTGATCCTCCCCTCTCAGCCTCCTGAGTAGCTGGAACTATGGGTATACACCACCACACCCAGCTAATTTTTTTATTTAAAAGATCTTTTTGTAGAGATGTGGTCTAAGTTGCCCAGGCTGGTCTTGAACTCCTGAGCTCAAGCTATCCTCCTGCCTCAGCCTCCCAAAGTGTTGGAAATACAGGTGTGAACCATAGCACCCAGCCTAATCAATCATTTCTTAAACTCTGATTAGTGGAACCAACCTACTCTTCCAAAACTTAGCAAAAAACATCCTAACAAAATGTATGTATTATACCTCTCTCAGGAACAACAGCCTTTACCAACTTGATTACTGACATGGAGCCCAGAGACTCCAATTCCCAATAGAAAATACTCCCTGTGAAAAAAAGGAGTTAAGTTTTATGGTGGTGAAAGAATTAATGACACCAAAAGGTAGCATATCCAGTATAGAAGCAGCCCACTAAAAACTTGTGCTTTGGGGACAAGTCTATGTAATTCCCACACCACTGATGAGAAATGTGTTCCTGAGCTCATACTACCAAGATGGTTATGGTCAAATCAACCACTGAAATCTGCTCATCCAAAAGCAGTAACTCTCTCAAGACTATCTTTCAAACAACCTTTCAATTTCTAAGAGCAGTCCTGCCCTATTAGCCAAACAGCTAATATTCTTTTTCGTTTTGTTTTTCTGAGTCAGAATCTCACTCTTGTCGGCCAAGCTGGAATGCAGTGGCACAATGTTGGCTCACTGCAACCTCCACCTCCCGGGTTCAAGCAATTCTCCTGCCTTAGCCTCCCAAGCAGCTAGGACTATAGGTGGGCACCACCATGCCCAGTTAATTTTTGTATTTTTAGTAGAGAGAGAGTTTTGCCTTATTGGCCTTCCTCTCTCGAGGTCAGGTCGACTTCCTGACCTCTGGTAATCTGCCTGCCTCAGCCTCCCAAAGTGCTGGGATTATAGGCATGTGCCACAGGGCCTGACCACAGCTAATATTCTTAAGCCCGATGCCAACCTACTTCACATAATGATCAGAAAGTAGGTAAAAAAAAAAAGGAAAAATTTTAAATAAACTAGTCCCAATTTGCATTAAGAGGATCCTGATTGTACCACCTGTCCGCCTTCATTCATTATTTATGGTGTACCCAGTAAGTGTAGTTTAGCACACATGAGAAAAAAAACAAAAGATTTCTGCCCTTGTGCAACTTATATTCTGGTGCCCTCAGATTCATTTTGAGATTGGTTGAGTGTAACATACCAGGAACTTGTTTTTGCAGCAGTCTGCAAAAAATATGATCATAAATATAATACATAATTCCTAACACAGATATATGAGAGCTAAAAATACACAAAAAAATTCAAATACAGTAGTCTTTGTGAATACCACCCTATAAATCTATAAAAATTATTTCTTCAAAAAACCAATAGCCAATAAGAAACTAAGATGACTGTACCTGAAATAATGAGGGCCTGCCTTATTTTGGCTGTCTGGCTCTTCTGAACACCTGCAAGATATTACTATACAAACCTTGGGATGTTTTTTGTTTTGTTTTTTTCACACAGTCTCGCTCTGTCACCCACGCTGGAGTGCAGTGGCGTGATCAGAGCTCACTGCACCCTTGAACTCCAGGGCTCAAGTGATCCTCCAACCTCAGCCTCCCCTGTAGCTAGAACTACAGAAAACATGCTATCATGTCCCGCTAATTTTTTGTTTATGTAGAGATGGAGGTCTCATTACGTTGCCCAGACGGTCTCAAACTCCTGACCTCAAATGATCCTCCCAAATCAGCCTCCCAAAGTGCTGGGATTACAGGTTTGAGCCACCATGCCCAGCCCTCAGGATGTTTTAACAATCAAGTGACACTCACAAATTTCATTATCACTTATACTTAAAGAATGCTCTAGATTTTAGAAACAACCCAGCCAGATGCAATGGTGCTCACCTACAGTCCCAGCTACTCGAGAGGCTGAGGAAGAAGGATTGCTTGAGCCCAGGAGTTCGAGGCTACAGTGAGCTACAACTGCACCACTGCACTCCAACCTGGGTGAAAGAGTGAAATTTAATCTTTTAAACAACAAACCCAAGTCATTTGATAAAATCTAACACATTCCTGAAAGTATTCTGCATTCAAAGCATTTCTAGTCATCTGCATAATGGCCAACTGGCTACTTTAGATTGTTTAGAAAAGTACCACCCAGGCTGGGCAGGGTGGCTCAAGACTGTAATCCCAGCACTTTGGGAGGCGGAGGCAGGTGGATCACGAGGTCAACAGATCGAGACCATCCCGGTCAACATGGTGAAACCCCGTCTCTACTAAAAATTACAAAAAATTAGCTGGGCACGGTGGTGCGTGCCTGTAATCCCAGTTACTCAGGAGGCTGAGGCAGGAGAATTGCCTGAACCCAGGGGGCGGAGGTTGCGGTGAGCCGAGATTGCACCATTGCACTCCAGCCTGGGTAACAAGAGCGAAACTCCGTCTCAAAAAAAAAAAAAGAAAAGTACCACCCAGTACGGTAGCCACTAGCCACATGTGGCTATTAATCACTTGAAATGTACCTTTGTAAAATTTATTTTTTCATTATAAAATATATTATCCATGTAGAAATATACCAAATCTAAATTGAGATGAGTTGTAAGCATAGCTTACAAACCAGAGAAAAAGAATGCAAAATATCTCAACAATTTTATTTTTTTTCATACAGACAGAGTCTCACTATGTTGCCCAGGCTGGTCTCAAACTTCTAAGTCCAAGCAATCCTCCCACCTTGGCCTGACAAAGTGCTGGGATTAGAGGTGTGAGCCACTGAGCCTGCCCTCAACAATTTTTAAGTCTTGATTACACAATAAAATAACATTTTAGATATAAGTTGAAATATAATATTAAAATTTGCTTTTTAAAATGTGGCTATTTGGCAGGGCTCGGTGGCTCACACCTGTAATCCCAGCATTTTGGGAGGCCAAGGTGGGCAGATCACCTGAGTAAGGCATTCAAAACCAGCCTGACCAACATGGTGAAACCCTGTCTCTACTAAAAAAAAAATTCAAAAATTAGCTAGGCATTGTTGCAGACGCCTGTAATACCAGCTACTTGGGAGGCTGAGGCAGGAGTATCCCATGAACCCAGGAGGTGGTAAGCCAAGATTGCACCACTGAACTCCAGCCTGGGCAACAGAACGAGACTCCATCTCAAAAAAAAAAAAAAAAAAGATGGCTATTGAAAGTATTATTTGTGGCTCACATTATTTCACTTGGATGGCACTGGTTAAACTCAATGACAGACTTCTAAACCTGTGCACACAGAGCTAATACATGAATGTGTTCAAGCAGTACTTAGAATCATATTCATTTTCTCAATTTACACTATTCAACATCTTAAATATGAAAACTTTTTTTTTTTTTCATTTTTTTTTTAGAGACGAGGTTTCACCATATTGGTCAGGCTGGTCTCGAACTCCTGACCTTAGGTGATCCACCCACCTCAGCCTCCCAAAGTCCTGGGATTACAGGCGTGAGCCACCGCGCCCAGCCTGTATGAAAACATTTTTATAGGAAAGTATCAAAATGCAGAATCTATAGTAATTTAGTGGGGCTGGGTGCAGTGGCACATACCTGTAATCCCAGCACCTTTGGGAGGCTGAGATAGGTGGATCACCTGAGGTCAGGAGTTGGAGAGCAGCCTGACCAACATGATGAAACTCTGTCTCTACTAAAAATACTAAACTGGCTGGGCGTGGTGGTATGCACCTGTAATCCCAGCTATTTCGGAGACTGAGGGCAGGAGAATCGCTTGAACCTGGGAGGCAGAGGTTACAGTGATCCAAGATTGCACCACTGCACTCCAAGCTGAGCAACAGGAGCACAACTCCATCTCAAAAAAAAAAAAAAAAAAAAAAAGGGAGAGTGGGCACACTGGCTCACGCCTGTGATCTCCATACTTTGGGAAGCCGAGGTGAGCGGATCACCTGAGGTCAGGAGTTCATGATCAGCCAGGCAAACATGGTGAAACGCTGTTTCTACTAAATATACAAAAAATTAGCTGAGTGTGCTGGTGGGCACCTGTAATCCCAGCTACTTCGAAGGCTGAGGCAGGAGAATTCAGCCTGGGAGGCAGAGGTTGCAGTGAGCCAAGATCATTCCATTGCACTCCAGCCTGGGCAAAAAGAACGAAACTCCATCTCAAAAAAAAAAAAAAAGTAATCATTTAGTGGAGCACCAACAAATACTTGGATACCACTATGCGCAGGATGTTCAATCCACACAATGACATGTTCTGCCACACTTCCACAGCAGAAGAGTCACATATTCTATATATAGCTAATGTGGACTGTGCTCCTACAAAGTGCCTGGCACCATGTGAAGTGCCTTACTCTCACTAACTCATAAAATCTTCACAATTGTCCTATGTGGTAGATACCATTATTAACACTTCTAAAGAACCTGAAGCCAAGAGAGGTTAAGTAATTTGCCAAAGTTGCACAGGTAGTATTGTGGAACCAGGATTTCAACCCAGCAGACTTGATCCGAAATCATCACACATCTTCCCAAGTAAAAGGACGACAAAAAGATTATAGCATTATCTTAGAGGACTGAGTTTTAGATGGGGGCATGTACCCTTTACAAAAACATTGGAGTAGACAATGTTTTGCTTCCAATTCTCTCCATCCACCACTGTTCCTAATGACAGGTTAAAGGTGACCACATGGCTGGGCATGGTGGCTCACCCCTGGAATCCCAGCACTTTAGTAGGCTGAGGCGGTGGACTGCTTGAGGTCAGGAGTTCAAGACCAGCCTGACCAACATGGTGAAACCCAGTCTCTACTAAAAATACATAAATTAGACAGGCACGGTGGTGGGCACCTTTAATCTCAGCTACTCAGGAGGCTGAAGCAGGAGGATTGCTTGAACCCCTGAAGTGGAGGCTGCAGAGAGCTGAGATCATGCCACTGCACTCCAGCCTGGGTGACAGAGCGAAATTCTGTCTCAAAATAAAGTTGACCACATGAATTAAATCCTCAACCTTACTATACGTTTGTTCTATGTTCCCTTTTCCAGAAAGGCCTTATCTCACCCCTCTGACCCAATTCCTATTAGTCCCTCAGACTTCATCATTTTAGATATCATCTCTATGTAAGCCTACTCAGACTCCTCACGATTTAGGCTAGCCAGTCCTCCTCCCTATGGTTACTACTGTAGCACCTTCCACATTGTTATGATTGACCTCACTGGAATGCTCTTCGAGGGGTCTGTTGTGTTCACCACTTATTCCCAGTGCCTAAGAATAGTGCCAAGCATTAGGTGCTCAGTAAATATTTGCTGACCCATCTGATCACCTAACCCCACCCAACTACAGCTAAAAGTGGAGTGTTAAAAGCAAACTTAGTGCATTGTAAGTGCTAGCGCTAAGTGCTAGTGTTCTCTAACCCAGAAGTTAGAGAACAAGTTCTAAGTTTCATGAAATTTGTGAAAGACCAAGAGAACAGTAAGATACTCCGGAAATAAGAACTGTAATTTCCACCCAAAAAGGGTGAGCAAAATAAAAATCTATTTTTAAAAAACCACTTGTCCAATTTAATTTCAGTGTAATTTCTTTTGTGAGAATGAAGCAGCTATTTGTCACACACGCACAAAAATCCAAACCAAATTATTTCAGTAACGCTATAAATTCTTTCAAATCAGCTTAATTTTAACAATTCCCAGAGTTCAAAGACAACTGCAGTTGCTTTTTAAAATCGTCTCAATAGAAAATTACATTTAAAAATGGGTTAAACTACACCGCCACAATGCTGAGTGCTGGGCTCCAAGTGACAGAGGCAGCTATGTGTCTTGAAGAAATGTATTGGGGATCGGATGAGTTTCACAATTAATTTAGCACAATTAGCATCAGCGCCACTAAATTTTCTAACCAGATTCAAAAGGGACTTTCCTAGAGCCTTCCCTTTTCCTTTCCTAAATGGGAAATTCGATTTAAAAGGTCACTCTTTAGCTCTTACTTCCACACTAAGTAATTCTGAAACGTGGTGAAAGTACATTAGAAGTCCTTAGGGCTATGACTGGCAAAATACTTTCCTGTAAATACTACAGTCGAAACAGAAGAGAGAACTTGACTTCATTCTGTTGGGTTTGAGGACAGAAACTGATCATATCTCCCTCAGATTACTGTTTCTGTTGATGTCTCAAAAGGCACTGAGGCAAATATGCCAGAGTCCCACCCCAAGCGCGAAGGGCCTCCGATTGTTTGACACATCAATGGATTAGTCAAGGAGGACAACTCACTTTTCCCTTCTAATTTGCCTTAATTATTCTACACACAAACCCTCAAGTTTACTCTAAGTTATGACCATATGGAATCTTCTTTTTGCCCCGGAGTATAAACTCAGGCCTTTCCCAAATAGCTAGTACTGCTTCTATCACAACCACTGAAATAAATACCTTACATATACCACACATCTAATAATTCCACGCAAATGTGGAAAAAGCCAGTCCTGAAGAAATAAGGTTCCGGAACGTGGTTAAATGATGCATATTTTGTAACCGAAGGCACTGAGCATAGTGGGAGACTTGAAAGCAAAAGGCCGGATGGAAAGCATGGAAGACCCCGCCCCAGTAAGCTCCATACCGATTCAAACAGTAACTTGGGTCTGTCGTTTGGAATCGGAATCACCGAAACAAAGGCGTATATCACGGGAAGCAAGATGTCTGGAGTAAAATAAAAGGTTTGCAGCTACCGAGACCGTACACTGTCCTCCCACAGGTCTTACCTATGGTGGAAATAAAGGTGGTATTGAAGGCATCATCCGAAAAACGAAAAAGGACGCAGGTCTTCCCCACTCCCGAGTCCCCGATCAGGAGCAGCTTGAAAAGCAGGTCGTACGTCTTCTTCGCCATTGGGAGGAGCGGCTCGGGCTCTCGCCGCCGGCGGCCCCAAGGGATCGGTCCCTCTCACTACAGCCAACTCCTCACTCGGGCGTTCTCAGGCCGGAGGACGGGGAAGCGTGGGAAAAAGGAAAGCTCGAGAGGGTGCGGGCGACCTACGAACAGCTTCGAGGAAGCCCAGACAGTGCCTCCGTCCAGTGCCTCCGAGGGCGGCGACCGCAGCTCCGCAGCCTCTCCCAGCCGCTCCGCCCGGTTCCGGGGAGTCGGTCGGGACAAAATGGCCTCCCCTCCCCCCTCAGGGTTTCTCGGCCGGGACGCTCCCACGGGCGAGCAAGCTTGCTCTGCCGTCGAGGAGGTGCGGCGGGCGTGTGTACAGTCTCTCCCCGGAGCAGAAACTCTGCGCTAGCACGCCGCGAGGACAGCGAAGAAGAACCCCCAAGTCGACGGGCTCAGCTACATAGCCCCAGGAAGCCGAGCCACCCCGGCCAGAGCCACCTTTCCCCCGTGCCCTCTCACGCCAGCGTGCGCGCTGCCTGAGACGCACGCAAGGACGTACGCCCGCCCTTCCCTCGCGCCCTCGCCTTGCGGTCCGCCTCTGCGCACGCGCACAAGAGGGCGTGGGGCGCGCCTGGGTGGAGAGTGGAGCGCCCCCTCCGGCCTCCAAGCCTCAGTCTGAAGCTAAACCCAGAGGGGAGAAGGGAGGGGCGAGAGGGGGTGAGGCCGCGGCGCGCTCCCTTTGGCCGCCTGATAGGGTGCGCGGCGTTACGAGCACGCCCCTCGGGAGTCGCTGCCTAGCCACTACGCAGGCGCAGCGCCTTCGGGTACACGCTTTCCGCACCGCGCACCTCTTTCCTTTCCCGGGGTCGCCGACTAGCCCGCGCTGCGGTTTCTCTGCACAGAGTTTGTCGGGTGTGTTGAGCCGGAGGTCTGGGCGCAGCGACGGGCTTGGGTGGCCATGTGTTCCTGTGTAGGTGGAGCTCGTGAATGCGAGAAAAAGTCGTGCCTTGGGTCATTTAATAGCTTCTTTGCTAGAACGAGACTCCTCCCGGCGTGCCACCCGCTCCCCTCCCCCCCGCCAGGGCCAACCCTGACGGGGAAACTTGAGCGCTCCATCCCGGTTCGCTTCTGGAGCAAGAGTTGGAGATGGAAAACCTGGCCATGCTGCTCGGGTTGGTATGATGTAATCCCCACAGCCTCTTCCTGGGCGAGGAGAGGAAGGCTGAGGAACACCTGGGCGCAGGAACAACAACCCCGCGAAGTGGAAGGTTATGTGCGATGCTCAGAGAACCTGCTCTAGGCCTTTGCTGGCCTTTAGGAATCCGGGAGAACCCGAGAGCTCTCCGCAGAGGACGTGGAGCGTCTACCTGCCACCAGAGTCGTACTGGGTTGAAAATTGAAAGGTGGGCCGGGCGAGGTGGCTCTTGCCTGTAATCCCAGCACTTTGGGAGGCCAAGGCGGGTGGATCACGAGTTCAGGAGATCGAGACCATCCTAACACGGTGAAACCCCATATCTACTAAAAAAACAAAAAATTAGCCGAGCGTGTTGGTACGTGCCTGTAGTCCCAGTTGCTCTGGAGGCTGAGGCAGGAGAATCGCATGAACCTGGGAGGCAGAGATTGCAGTGAGCCGAGATCTTGCCACTGCACTCCAGCCTGGCGACAGAGCGAGACCTCGTCTGATTAAAAAAAAAAAAAAATTGAAAGGTGGTCAAGCCTACCCCCAATCCGACACAGCCTCCATCCTCGCATTCTCTCTTCATTTGTTTTACCTACTTCTGACCTCTCTCCCCATCAATCCTATTTACACCGCTCTTTTTCTCCTTGCCTTCCGTAGTTGCAATGTGTATGCTGCTGACCTTCCGTTCTCAGGGTCATCCATCCCTTAAGCACGTCTAGGTGTGCTGGCACAGGAGTTGAACCTGGTGAGCTGGTTCAGCCTGATAAAGCGAAAAACGCTGAGACGTGGGAAGTAAGAAACAGGGATAGGAAAGTAAAAACTACATTTTTACACACATCATCCCACAATCGCCAAGTCACCAAAACGTGTATTTTATGTGTAAAGTTAGACTTTCAGGCAATTCTGTCTTACATTTCCATCTTAGGTTTCAGTTTTAGATGTTTCCTTTCTTCCCAACCACCCCTAAAGCATCCTTGCCAAAGATACTTGTCTTCACTAATACATCTCTCTTCAGTCATTTTCTCTAATTGCTCCTAGTCATGTCACTTAAACTTTTTTTTTTTTTTTTTTTTTTTTTTTTTAATGAGACAGGGTTTCACTCTGCCACCCAGGCTGGAGTGCAATGGCAGATCTCAGCTCACTTCAACCTCCGCCTCCCAGGTTCAAGCTATTCTCCTGCCTCAGCCTCCTTTGTAGCTGGGATTACAGGCGTGTGCCAACACACCTGGCTAATTTTTGTATTTTTAGTAGACATGGGTTTTCACCACGTTGGCCAGGCTGGTCTCCTGACCTCAGGTGATCCACTTGCCTCACCCTCCCAAAGTGCTGGGATTACAGGAGTGAGCCACCGCACCGGCCCTCACTTAAACCTTCTTGTCCTCTATGAATCGTTCTGACTTCAGTTGGGAATGCCTTACGATAATAATTCTAAAATAGACTATGCAAATCACGAAGTGAGCGATGGTTAGTGCAGCACAGGTGTGTTATCAATTCAGAGTCAGAAGGAAAATCTTTTTACCTTGATTATTCCTTTCAAAATAAGTTAGATTAACTCAAGCCCCAATGTTATAAAGTATCTTAAAAGTCTTGGCCGGGCGTGGTGGCTCAAGCCTGTAATCCCAGCACTTTGGGAGGCCAGGCGGGTGGATCATGAGGTCGAGAGATCGAGACCATCCTGGTCAACATGGTGAAACCCCGTCTCTACTAAAAATACAAAAAATTAGCTGGGCATGGTGGCGCATGCCTGTAATCCCAGCTACTCGGGAGGCTGAGGCAGGAGAATTGCCTGAACCCAGGAGGCGGAGGTTGCGGTGAGCCGAGATCGCGCCATTGCACTCCAGACTGGGTAACGAGCGAAACTCCGTCTAAAAAAAAAAAAAAAAAAAAGTCTTGCTGGGCGCGGTGGCTCATGCCTGTAATCCCAGCACTTTGGGAGGCCGAGGCAGGCGGATCATGAAGTCAGGAGTTCGAGACCAGCCTGGTCAACATGGTGAATGTGTATGCTGCTGACCTTCCATACTCAGGGTCAGCAGCACACACATTGACCTCGTCTCTACTAAAAATACAAAAAATTAGCTGGGCATGGTGTCGTGCGCCTGTAATCCCAGCTACTTGGAGGCTGAGGCAGGAGAATCGCTTGAACCCGGAAGGCGGAGGTTGCAGTGAGCTGAGACCGTACCATTACACTCCAGCCTGGGCACCAAAGTGAGACTCAGTCTCAAAAAAAAAAAAAAAGTCTTGCCGGGCACGGTGGCTCACGCCTGTAATCCCAACACCTTGGGAGGCCGAGGCGGGTGGATCACCAGGTCAAGAGATCGAGACCATCCTGGTCAACATAGTGAAACCCCGTCTCTACTAAAACTACAAAAAATTAGCTGGGCATGGTGGCGCGTGCCTGTAATCCCAGCTACTCGGGAGGCTGAGGCAGGAGAATTGGCTGAACCCAGGAGGTGGAGGTTGCGGTGAGCCGAGATCGCGCCCTTGCACTCTAGCCTGGGTAACAAGAGCAAAACTCCGTCTTAAAAAAAAAAGTCTTGCCTGGCGCAGTGGCTCACGCCTGTAATCCTAGCACTTTGGGAGGCCAAGGTGGGTAGATCACCTAAGGTCAGGAGTTCAAGACCAGCCTGGCCATCATGGTGAAACCCCAATCTTAAAAAAAAAAAAAAAAAGTCTTAAATGTATTTAAACTGGGTACAGTGACTGAACCTGTAGTCCCAGCTATTCAGGAAGCTGAAGTGGGAGGATTGCTTGAGTCCAGGAGTTTGACACCAGCCTGGGTAATAAAGTGGACACCATCTGTGAAAAAATGAAGTGTTAAAGGTCTTGTTTGTTTGTTTTGAGACAGAGTCTTGCTTGTTACACAGGCTGGAGTGCAGAGGCCTGAATGCAACCTCAACCTCCTGGCCTGAAGCGATCCACCTTGGCTTCCCAAGGTGCTGGGGTTACAGGCATGAGCCAACGCACCCAGCCAAGATTTTTCGTGTAGAAAGCCTAATTCAGTCTGAGCATGGTAGATCATGCTCAAAGTGCTGGGAGTCCAAGTCGGGCAGATCACAAAGTCAAGAGATGACCATCCTGGCCAACATGGTAAAACCCTGTCTCTACTAAAAATATGAAAATTAGCTGGGTGTGGTGGCGTGCACCTGTAGTCCCAGCTACATGGGAGACTGTGGCAGGAGAATCACTTGAACCTGGGAGGTTGCAGTAAGCCAAGATCGCGCCACTGCACTCCAACCTGGCAAGAGCAAAACTCCATCTCAAAAAAATAAAAAGCCTAATTTGGAGAGTAATACCACTACATAAATTTTGGGGATAATGGACAGTTGAAAAATTTGAAAAAACCAACACAAATGATAAATGTTTGAGGTGATGGATACCCCCATTACCCTGATTTGATCATTACACACTGTATGCATGTATCAAATATCGCATGTACTTCCATAAATATGTACAAATATGTACCAGTAGAAAAGATTTTTTGACTTTATTTTTTATCCTGTAACCAACCATTTTATCACTTAGAAAATTTTCCCTATGAACTCATATTCTGAAACTTTAGGTTACATTTATTAACAAATTATTAATCATAGAATTTTTTTTTTTTTTTCACAAAGTCTGACTGTTTCACCCAGGCTGGAGTGCAGTGGCACATCTTGGCTCACTGCAACTTTTGCCTCCTGGGTTCAAGTGAATCTCCTTCCTCAGACTTCTAAGTAGCTGGGATTATAGGCACCACCACCATGCTCATCTAATTTTTGTATTTTTAGTAGAGGCAGCGTTTAACCATGTTGTCAAGGCTGGTCTTAAACTCCTGACCTCACGTGATCTGCCCTCCTCAGCCTCCCAAAGTGCTGGAATTACAGGCATGAGCCACTGCACCTGGCCCCTGGACTACATTCCTTATAAAGCAATTTTGAAAAAAGCATAAGCCCTAAACTAGGACATGAGCCACCATGCCTGACCAGGATGGTCTCAAATTCCTGACCTCAGGTGATCTGCCCTCCTCAGCCTCCCAAAGTGCCGGGATTATAGGCATGAGCCACTGCGCCCAGCCAGGATCATACCTTTTTTTTTTTTTTTTTTTTTTTTGAGGTAGGGTCTCTGTCACCCAGGCTGCAGTGCAGTGGAGCAGTCACAGCTCACTGCAGCCTCAACCTCTTGAGCTCAAGCAATTCTCCCTCTTTAGCCTCCCCAGCATCTGAGTCTACAGATGCGCACCATTATGCCTGGCTAATTTTTATGTTTTTTGTAGAGACAGGGATTTGCCATGTTGCCCAGGCTGGTCTTGAACTCTTGGGCTCAAGCAATCCATGCACTTTGGGCTCCCAAAGTGCTGGAATAACAGGCGTGAGCCACCGTGCCCAGGCATAATTCGACCCCTGCACGTAACCCACTGATGAGGAGTCTGAGGCTCAGAGAAGTCAGAGCCTTCCCAGAAGTCACAGTGTTAATGCAGAACTTAGACTATATGGGTAAGGGAAAAGAGAAGAAAACCTCCATAAGACATCATATTATGTCAAGGTGAGAATTGGGAGGATTGAGAGGCTCAGCCAGTACTTAGCATTTGGATTCTCTAAAGTTAATTAAAGGTTTTGCTGGAGTGAGGCCTAAGCATCAAGCTATATCTGCCAGTA